ATAGCTTTACATCAGATATGGTTACAAGTTATTCCTAGAGCATCATGGAGAGATGTCATTAATGCTTTGAAACAATGTAAAGAGAATGAACTAGCTAGAACTATTGAAGACAAAGTGACAGATCCTATTGATGAAGTTGTAACAGGTAAGCATACACTAAATACAACACACAATTGATACACTATACTGCAGATAATCTAAAGGATGTATTGAAGACTCATTCTCATACACTTACTCGGAGTATTTCTACTGACTTTTCAAAAACAGCTAGTGCACTGTATGCTAAAGGACTGATACCAGAGACCACTAAAGATCAAATATTTATACCGGGAATTAGTGATTTTAATAAAGCTGCTAAACTTGTGACTGTCATTGGGCACCAGTTACCCTCTGATAATCCAGAGCAGTATCTTATTGATGTATGTCATGTATTAATAGACCAAAAAAATCCAGCCCTAACAGAAAATGCTGCCTCTATATTAGACCAGTTAGGTGAGTGTGTGTGTGTACATTATCAGTGATCAATATAGTCATTATATCTCAATAGGTCAGTCTGTGCCTGATAGTGGTACAGAAGCAGAGCATGAGACTGAAATACAAACTAAACCAGTTGCTGAAATAGGTAAGTTACCATTGTGGCATTACTATGAATAGATTGTATTGCAAAATAAACAAGACAATAGTAACATATAAAAGTTTACCTTAAAGCCACTTATTTGTAAGTAGACAAATATTTACGATTTGTTAATGGTACTGATTTAGTGTGTACTAATTTTTTGCAAGTTTTCAATTAATAATTATAGGTTACACACTGAGGTAGAAGTTTCTATGGAATTTATTAACTGTTAATAAATGCGAGTACTAATTTTTGCCACTCGCAAAAAATTAGTACTCGCAAATAATAGGCATAAATGCAGAAAAATAAAGGAGGTCAGATTACACATCCTACCATGGCCCCACAAAAGGACTAGGCTACCGTGCTGAGCCTACTTTTCATGGCCCCGTTTCTTTTGCATGTACATACATCTTTTTATTTATTGTGCATGTTTTTATTTCATTATATAGTACAAGATGACTCAGCAAACAGAGTTGGATATTTCTCTAATGCAATAGAGAAAAAGGATCTCAAGCCTGGTGATCATATCTATACTCACAGAACACTATTCCTTCATAGTCATCACGGTATTTATATTGGTGAGCCTGATTGTGAAGTGATTCACTTCAGTGGTGATGCAACTGGGTCACTAAGGAATAAGGACAGCTCACTTTGTCAAGTAAGAAAAACTACCCTTGGTGACTTTTGTGATGGTAATACACTCCGTTTGGTGGCATATAATGCCTATACAAGTTCCAATGCAAGTCACACTGTGAAGGCAATGCCTCTTTCAGAAACAGTTAAGGTGGCTAAACATTTTCTCAATGATCCAAAAAAGTTTGGTGAATATGGCATGAGGAATAACAACAGTGAAACATTTTCCTGCTTCTGTAAAACAGGACTGATGGATATTGCAGCACAGCTTCATCCATTGAGCAGGAACGTGTTAGCTGAGTGGTTGTGGGCAGCACCATGTACTACGTATGAAGAAGCAATGAAAAACTTTATTGAAAAACAAAATGCTAAAACATAACCTAGAACAAATTATGTAGACAGACCAAATTAGACTCTAGAATTATTAGTTATAGTTAGATATCATATACCTGCTATATATATATTGAATAACTGCTATGTACAATACACTGCTGCCTTTCTAGTGCTATATGCTGAATTAGTGTTTTGAAAATACTGTAGGAGACTGCAAAACATTAAGACTGAAGCTTCACCCCTTTGCCACTCGTACATAATTATGTTCACATGCAAACAGAGCTATCTCACTCGCTATGGGCTTCATCCAAATTCCAAGTTATACAATTTATGCTGTGGGCATCATGATAATTATACTAAAATTACAACACCTGCCGTATCATTATTAATAAAATTAATGTCCATAGCAAAAAACAAAAGCAATACAACTACATGTACTTAATAATAATAATAATAATAATAATAATAATAATAATAATAACAACAATAATAATAATATTAAATAATATCTATACTAAAACACAGAGATATGGCTTTTTAATAAACAAAAATTTGAACAAAATAAATTAATAAATTAAAACAACAACAACAACAACACCTCTTTATCATTTCTATCCCTCTACAACCACAAGCACAAACAATCAGTTACTTCTCAGTCTTTGGTGTGCTCTTCTTCCCATCACTACCTCCAGTGACTCCAGTGGTACTACGAGAGGTCTTAGTACTGGGTTTCTCAGATAACAGGTTATTAAAGAATGTCGCTAGTACTTCACCCCCGGACTGCTGGCCCCCTCCTCCTCCTCCCCTTCCAGACATTAGGTTCTTAGGTACCCTTCCCTCCTATCATGTGACAGTCATGTGACACATGAGAGGTAGGGTATTTAGTATATGCATACATGTACTGTACTAATTTATTTGGCAATTTCTTAAAATGGTCGTAACTTGAAAAATTGAAGTCGGAATCAGCTCAAACTTTTTACACAGCATAAGGACATCAATATGTATCAGAAAATGTAATAAAAATTTGGGGTGATTTCGGAGCTATTTTTTGGAAAAACTGTACATTTACACATAGTCTTATCAGGAAAGAAGGAGAGTGGAATAATTAAACTACATGTATACCTGTATACCTAGGTGCTACACACCACACATAAACTCTGATAACTCTGAAATGACCAAATTTAGTCAAAATACTGGAATGACAGTATAGTTGAGCAATAAAAACAATTATTCTCACATGAGTGAAAATGATAATGATACATGAAACATAATTTAATTAGCTATAGACATAGTTAAGTTACAGTACACTCACTTCTGTCATGTGTCTATTGTCCACTAGTGACTGGATAGCGGAGCTACTTGGTAGATTTCTTATAGCTTCATTACAAGATGATTGATGT